TGCATGTTGATATTTAAACCTCGCATATCTATAGTTAAGCTAACAATAATAATAGTGAAAATGATTACTATTCTTTTGTTCAATTCCTATAATTGAATCCCCTAAACAAGTCTGAACTCCCTACTACTACCTTAGCCAAAAGTATTAGCCGATCTAGGAACCTAGTGAAAACCTCTTTATGTTATTTTTGGTGCTAGCTATGATTTATAACTTATTTTTGGTGTTAATGATGATTTATATACGTATGTATATAAAACAAAAGTTATGGCTATTCTCTCTATTATCAATCTTTGACCTTGAGTTTTTATTGAATAAGCCTAAGTAGATAAATTAGAACCCTATTACTTGCTTGTAATCTAGATCATGTTTCTTGAAATTTGATAATGATAAGCCACATGGAACCAATTGTATTTTTTTTTATGAAGCCCTCAGGCAAATCAATTAAGTATTAATAGGTAGGAATTACAAAACATCGATTCCTCATAAATTAAACTATCAATACAATGGGTAGGGGTCTAGAGCCAACTCAAACAAGGAGAGTTATAAAACGATAAATGAGTGAGTGAATGAGCTACACAATTGGCATCCTTCCATACATGAGTGATTAAGAATGGATGGAAATTTTGAAGGAGCTTCAATCCTACAACTAGTTAGAGTGTATCTGATGCAACAGGGAGGGGATGGAACCATTACCAATAGGGAATGTATTGTGATTAATGAGTCACCTTCAAGAATTATGTGATCCAACTTCAAAAGAGCTACTAGCTGAATACCTTCTTTGAAAGCTAACACTTCAGATTCAATAGGAGAGTAAGGGGGAATAGTCTTGTATATATTGGCTACATGATACCCCTTGGAATCTCTGATAATGATCCCCAGTCCAACTTTGCCAAGGGAGTAGACCCCTTCAACATTTATCTTGAAATTGCATTTGGGTGGAGTAGTCCAAATCACCATCGGCGCCTTTGGAGTGGATTCAATAGGAGGAGACTTGCAGAGAGGAACTCATAGACATACATGAGTAGTCATTGAAAATTGACTTAGCCTGAAGCCACATTCTCCTTATTAGATCAGGGGAAACATTCTCAAATACAAGATTATTCTAGGCTTATCTTTCTAGATCAACCATAAATAGATTAATATATCATACAATAGAGGCCTACCATCACTTCGGGAGTGGTTAACTAACCACCAGGTTACCTAATCTACCACAAAGCAAGAAACCTCTTCCGATCTAATGGCCAAAGTAGAACCATAGGTTAAGAACAGGTGCTTAATCATACAATAGTCCACTATATATGTATTTTAATTTTGAGATATCCCACTCTATCTTAGAATGATAAAATAAGTCAGCTACTTTAAGAAAGGTATGCTGAGTGTAAGTCGACTCTAAACAAAATTTGGGTAAATATGCTATCCAAGGATCAAGCTAGATATTGATTGTCCTCTCATCACCCATTGCCCTACAAGCACCCTTGTGAAAGGACTTCTCTAGTAGACAAAATTACTTTCCAAATTCTGGAAGCATTTGTTGGTGTCTTCACATGCCAAAAGCACTACTAATTCATATATCTTTTGTATCTAACGTGTAGCTCGGCAACCAATTTTGATTGAGAAATGATTGACCACACTTTCAAATAAATATGCTTAATGTCTTCTTTGAAGGTCTCTTTGAAACTAAACTAGAGTTAATTTGGAAGATGCAAACCTTGCCTCGTGGGGAACCAAACCATAGTATTAAGGGTGCAAGTTGGTCAGGTTGGGCTAGGTTTATGGTCAACCTATGCCCAACCATGCCATCCACTAATGCTTTGAGGTTTATGCCAAGTTATTCAACCTTGTGTCTCTAACTAGGAGTGGATTTGAGTTGAGCTGAGTCAAATATCTGGCTATTCGAGCTTGGCTCACTAAAAAATTATGAGACTCGAACCCGAGCTTGAGCTTGATTTCAGTTAAAGAGTTGAACTTGAATTCAACTTAACTCAAAAGCTCATAAGTTACGTTTGACCTTGAATCGGTTCAAGCTTGACTATGATCCAAACTTCCTATAAAAATAAAAAAAGTTATATATAAAAATATTAATTTTTTTTATTTTACATATATAAAATTAAGAATTATAAAAACTAGTTAATATTATACATATAAAATATTATATATGTATACATATATGATATTTTTATTTTTATTTATATATTTGTGTATATAGCTCATGAAAAGCTGGATTCTTGTCAACCCCTATCTCTAATGACCAACTTGCCAACCAATTTTGATGGAAAAATGACTAATCCACACTTTCAAATAGATATACATAGCGTCTTCTTTGAAGGTTTCTTCGAAAGTAAATAAGAGTTAATTTGGAAGATGCAAACCTTGCCTCATTGGGAACCAAACCATAGTATTAGGAGTCCAAGTTGAGTGGCCTAGGTTGGGTTTATGGTCATCCTAGGCCCAACCCTAAGATTTGGGCCTAAGGTCCAAGCCTGAGGTGAAGCCTGATCTTCTCAACCGAGCCTAGCATGCACTGTAATTTGATGCATTCGGGTTGGGCTCAGGCTCGAGCTGGAATAAGGTTGGTTAATGAACCCATTCTAAAATTACACATGTATGTATGTATGTATGTATGTATACATGCATGCATGTAGCCAGGCTTGGGTTGGGACAAGATTGGACCAAGATTGGACCAAGCTTGGGCCAAGTTCAAACTACCTAAGGGCTAAGCTCTAGCCGAGCCTGAAAAATAAAAAAAACCTGAAGTTTTCGGCCCAAGCCCAACCCAAGGACTAAAAATCTAAGCCTACCTTATGTAAAGTTTTGGGCTGTCAGTCTAGGTGTGGGTTGGACTCGCTCAAGTTGCATCCCTACATAGTATTAGGATTTAGGTTAGTAGTTTCTTAGTTTAACCTTAACTCAAAACAAACTCCAAGTGTATTGGTTGTATCAAAATATTTGGTATTTCTTTTAATATTATTAACTATAATATAAAATGTTTTCTTTTTTAGCCCATATGTCCACTAAAACGGCCTTTTGAAGCCTCTATACATCGTTTAAGTTTAGGCAAACACTCCGGTTGATAATTATAATGAAGCTAGTGTACCAAGGGAAAGCAAACCAACCTATCGTAGTTCAACAGAAAATTATACATTTTCATTATTTTACTTCTCATAATACTATTGTAAAACAATAATTTTGGTTTGTGTTTGAACAAGTGCTTCTAGTCCTTGCATGCCAATTCCTGTTAACCAACCTATGACACCAAATTCTCATTAGGATTCATGTTCGTGAGAGTTTGGCAGAGGTTTTAGTACTAGTTGTCAATTCTTTTCCTTTATCTGTTTGCGACCAACATAAATTCACACTGATGAAGTTATGAATTGAAATATAAGGCTTGGTTTATAAATGAAAAATGGGACAGACAAAGATGGTGCTTGGTTTCACTGCGGTTAATTAGAAAACCGGTGCTAGTTTAGGCCTTAGTGCCAAATAGGCATTCTTCAAAATGCAATTTTAAATTTTGTTTGATTAAGCCGTTTATCAATAAATTGTTTTTTCTTGTTGTGTTATAAGAGCCATTATTGGAGCAAATGCCATTTTTTATGTTTCCCCAAATGGTAACCATTTTTTCATTAATCTGCATGTGGCGCTAAGCCGCTAACTGCCCAAAAAAAAAAAAAAAACTTTTTATCCCATCTCATGGTTTTTAAAACTGATCTGGAGACCAAATGCTTAGTCCATTTTGACAAAAAAAAAAAAAATAAAATAAAAAAATGGTCAAAACCGTTTGGACGATTAACTGCCCGGTTCAGCACTTCGCTGACCAAAATCAATGATTTTGGGGAAAAATCCGATTTTGGGGGACAACGGATGACCGATTCCAGGTTTTTTCGGTCCAATCATCCGGTCCGGTCTGGTTTTGAAAACCCATGTCCCATCTTCAAAGGAAAATTCATAAAATAACATTTTTCAATGAGTGATAATCAAATTATACAGCATGATTTTTAAAACCGACCTGGTGATCGAACCGGTTAAGGGTCCGGTTACCAGTTCAAACGGTCCAACTGTTCAACCTGAACGGTCGGTCTGTTATAACAAAAAAATAAAAAAACGGTCAAAACCGTTCGAATGATTAACCAGCCGATTCAACGGTTTGCTAACCAAAATCAATAGTTTTGGGGAAAAACAAAACCGGTCAGATGATCGATTTCTAATTTTTCCAGTCCAACCGTCCGGTCCGGTCCAATTTTGAAAACCCTGCTATACAGCTCCTAAAGACTCTGTGATTGGTGAATGGTCGATAACTCGATATTGATCTCATCAACTCTCTACGCGACTAGTAAAGGGCAAGAAAAAATCAAATATCAAGTCAACCCTTTGTGGAATTCACATCTCTGCCCCCCACAAACGCTCCATATTCCAACCGTGTATTGAAAACATCTCCCACTAACTATTTTGGGAGATTTCCCGATGCAGAGATTTGAATGTAGAGCGTTTGTAGAATGCAGATTTGATCTCCTCTGCACGTGGTTAGTAAAGGGCAAAAGAAAATCAACTATCAAATTGGGAGTAGTGGTCTAGGAGGAGATCACATTAGCGCCCCCAACGTGATCACTACAAAGTTCAAATTAAATTTGAGGTAGGGCCACATCATTGCATCCAGAGCGGTAAATTCACGGTTTTGGCGGAGCGCTACTCCATCAGCTGATTTTTGAATGTAAGGCTGTGTTTGGTTCCAATGCAAATTCTCATTTAATTTTATTTTAGATTTTATTTTATTCTGTTTCATGTCTTAATTTATTTCATCCGTACTGAAATCAAACAAAATGATAAAATTTAAAACAAAAATTGATCGGAATTTATACTCAAATCATTTGCATTTGCACTGTTATAATTTTGTATCAATACAAATTTATTTGCATTACAACCAAACACAGCTACAGGGGTAAATCTCTGAGCCGATTTTTGAGAACTAGGACAAGGAGCTATCAGTGAGCAGTGAACAGTCATTGCTCATTAGTCATCGGTGGGATGCCTATTTGCCGGGAGTAAATAAGAAGTCTGTAACTGTAACTAACATTCCCGGGAAAATTACCAATGTGCGCGACTGCGCCACAGCGTTGGGCAGATCGCCAGTGAATTCTGTGACTGTCTCCATTTACCGCAGATACTTGTGTTAGTAGTGACAGCACCTATGCTTCGGAATCGAATTCTCAAACCCTAACACAGGGACAATGTCAATCGCCGCTCAAAATCTCTCAACGAATTCGAGCCATCATATCTGCTTCTTCTGTTCGACCAACGTGATTCATGGCGTTAATACTCTGAAACACCTTTACGCCTTAACACTCCCAATCTACTCCAGGCGTGATGGGAGGTCGAACTCCCTGCATTTCGAAGTTCTTGGGCAGAGAGACTCTTGGCAGCGTAAACAACTCCAGCCCTTCGAGGCTGGTAGACAATGGCGTTCCAGAGCCTTTGAACCCGAGGGGACCTTGCAAGGAGAGAGGCTCGATGGTAAGCTTAATTTGGACGCTTTCCTTTCGATTGCCGAGGTGTTGTGTCTTGTACCATCGACTATTTTAACGGTCGGGTATGCTGTGAATTGGATCTATTTAAGTTCCTCGCAGAAGGCGATTCAAGTGCCCTTGGTGAACGGGGTTTTTGTCTGGCAATATGTTTTGCTGGTGATTGCTGTTGCAGTCGGGACTTTGATTAGAAGAAGGCAGTGGAGGAGGATCTGTAGGGAATCGTTCAAGTCAGGTGGTAGGTCGAGTTTAAATCTTGTTGAGAGAATTGAGAAACTCGAGGAGGATCTTCGGAACTCCGCTACTATTGTAAGGGTGCTGTCGAGGCAGCTTGAAAAGTTAGGGATTAGATTTAGGATTACAAGGAAGGCATTGAAAGAACCTACTACCCAGGTAAGCTCATTGTTCCTAGATTTCTAATTTTTTTCCTGCATTTTTTCTGACTTCTGAGGCCTTGCGTAAAGAATCTTTGTAGATGAGAGTGGGATAGGATGAACAAATAAACCAAATCTCGAGATCGGTCTCGTGTTTTCCCAAAATTATGGTAGAAAAGAATGCTTTGAACCCTGAAATGTTGGATTCTTGAACTAAGATCAAATATCTTGAGTCGAAGAGCTTGAGTTGTGTACTTGTGTTGTTACCAGGAGAAACGTAATTGCATGTATAAAATAAATTTGTTTTGCGATAGCTTAAGTGATTAATTACCAACGTTCCATAACAGATGAAAAAAATGATGGCTGTCACATTGACCTATAGTTTGTATTTGTGTTCGCACTTTGCAGACTACAGCTTTGGTTCAGAAGAATTCTGAGGTGACTCGAGCTTTGGCAGCACGAGAAGATAATCTTGAAAAGGAGCTTGGTGAAATTCAAAAGGTTTTGTTGGCAATGCAGGTGTGCTTCATATTACCATTTGACCATATAAGTAGATATCCTAATATATTCAAGCTCCGTTAAAAATACTATGACATTATGATGGTTAAAAGTTTCAAAGACAAGCCTTGGTAGAAGGGAAGGTCATTGAAAATTTGAAATGTGAACATATAAAAGTTTCAAAGACAAGCCTTGTTGGCAATGAAGGTGTGCTTCATCATTGTTGTTTTGATGATTCTTGGTTTCCTCCCATGACCTATTTAGATTTCTTATCATTTATATGATAATTTGCATTTATTAAAATTGTTGTTTCTGTCACTTAGCGGTAAAAACACTTGTTCTATAATGGCTTATACATGCCGAAACCAGGAGCCTTTTGTTATGGGCCCGGGGGTAGGATCGCGTCACGGGTCGGTCCACGAGGAGAACCTCCTGTTTTCCCTTGTTCCTCCCTTTCCTTGAGGAACCTATCTTGGCGCCCTAAGGGTGATTTGTCCAAGAGATCACCCTAACTCTCCTTACTCCTTTCTTGACCGAAAATTTGATGCCTTTATTCTTTAATTCCAGCTCCTTAAATAGGAGATTACAAGAGGTAGGGATACTTCTTATTGGATTCGACTTCTTACAGATAAGATTCCTATCTTGGGAAGGATAAGACTCCCTAGATAAATCAAACTTCTACTATAAGACTCCCTACTAAACCTTATCGGACTAGATAAATGAGAAAAACAAATAAGATAACTGTGAAAGATAAGATGAAATAAGCTGCGGCCTAATCCTACGTGGACTTCTGTGTGGACACCTCATTACTGTTGTTGCTGCTGCCTGCGGCGGTATTTCTTCCCAACGAATACATCCGCAACATTACACCCCTCCGGGACTACGAGCTTGTCCTCAAGCTCGGGATATGTGTCCCGTAGTTCAGTGAAGGGCATCCAGGTGGCTTTGACTGATGGTAAGTTGTCCCATTCCACAAGGACCTCGAGGACACCCCGATTGATTCTGGAGCGGACGAGGGCCCGGGGTTGGAGGATGAGCTTGTCGTCTTTGAGGGGCGGCAGAGCGGGTACCTGATCCGGTGGATCTCCTGTGAATGGCTTGAGCAAGGAAACGTGAAAGATATCATGGATTATGCTGTTCGTCGGTAGCTCGAGCTGGTATGCAACTGGGCCGATCCGCCGTAAAACCTTGAACGGTCCATGGAATTTAGGAGC